TAATGACAGCATGAACCTGTTCTTTTGTGGTGGGGGAAAGAAAGATAATAACTGATTACTAGTTCTCTTCCTACATTGACACTATGATCGACAATCAACTTTTGGAGAAACTAGAGGTTGCAATACATCATTTAAAACATCATGTTCAGGCTCTTTCTGGTCAGGGACGCTAGCAAATGTTTCTTATTCAGAATGGTGTTTCAGCTGAAGTATGCGAGCCAAACTCTGCTCTCACATTAGAGTAAATTTGGAAGGATGCCACTGAGTTCAATGGAGTTATTTCAGAGCTAGACCACAGTAACTCAGGATACAGCCTCGCTCACAGTCCCTGCTGAGAGATATTGGAAGCATGTTAGTAATTACAGATGCTTCTGCTGCCCCACAGCTCCCTGCACTGAAGCAATTATTCACTCCTTTTCATTACCCATTCAGACTGCACTGGCTAAACACAAGACAGCTTTCACAATTAATATGGAGTCCATAGGAGACAGTGGGGAAAACCTACTTGCTGAAAACATAATTCTTTAGTAATCACTAGGAATCACTAACTGCAAAGGAGCCAGATTCAATAAAGCTTAAAACTTAAGCAGAACTGAGGCACTTGCAACCCAAAATGTGACTGAGCAAATTCCTACCCAGTTAGTCTACCTTTGGTGGTTAACCTCATAGGAGCCGAGATGCGGGTTTGAAATTCCTTCAGGCTGAAAAGAAGCCAAGTCTCATCATTCCTGGGCAAGGGCAACTGCTCCAACCAAAAGGCTAGTATTAAGTCTATCCGCAGCCAAGAGACCACAGTGCAATTCCTGGGAATACTATTATAAATACCTATCTCAAGGAAGTGATCTGAGCTTTGAAGCTTGCCTGGACTGAGGTTTTGCCTGTAGCACAGAGTCAGGCATTTAAGCTTTGAGGGATGGGATGGTTCATCTGTGCTTTTGTGATCAGCCTTTTGTGTTCTGTTGCCTAGTTCAAAACAGCACCCACTCTCTGAAGGAGGGGATATTTGCACTGCTGTTGTGATGTGTCTGACTCTGCCTCTACTCTGTCTTTTGACCCTATGTGTGTTCCAAAGATTTTAGATTTCACTCCAGGAATCAGGTGTACAGGAGTAAGTGCCAGCATCTTATTTTAGACCTTGTTTTCAACAGTATCGATTGTTGAAGCCCTAAGTCTTTAATAACTTCATTCACTGCACTGCCTTGGAGTTTCTGGAAACCTGCTCTACTAAAGTAACTTATATTTATCTGACAAATGTGAACCTCATAAGTCTCACTCATATTTTCATATAAATGAGACATTACATCCAAAGACTGCAGAGTCATGCTATATCATTTGCCATTTTCCATCTTCACTGAAATCTTAGATTAAGCTGAAATCACAGCATGGTGGAAGGAGAGACAGTTATGTAGCTCCTGATGGACTTACCAAGTTACTTTGAGAAACAACTCTATGTTACTGCCTGTAATCTACCTCAGTGTTTACTTCCTTCAAATTCTGGTCTGGAAGTACCTAATCACCTCAAGCACCTTGTAACCCTATCAGATTCCTTGTATGCTAGCCAGTTAGTTTCTCTGACTAAAGAAGGCAAAAATGCACCCAATTTACCCTTTCCACAGTCATCCTGGACAGGGATGAAATTGAACTCAATGAACTTGGAATTTTTCACTGTAAATGAAACATCTTTTATTTCACAATTTGTCAATGTTTACGGCTGTTACTCATCCATCAGTGTGGAGCTAACCCTCCAGACCTCGGAGACCTCTGTCACCCCTCTGGGCAGGCAGTCCAAAACCCATCCAGGTGCCAGCAGGGCAGGTGGGCAGCACGACCCTCCTACCGACTGCCTGGCAGGAGACTGTCCTGAACGCATTGAACAACTGCATAGCTCTTCGCACTCAAGATCCTGAACAAATTAAGCAATGCAAAGGTTGGGCTGGTCCTTCCTCATGGGAAAGAAGGAAGTCCATGACTCACTTCATCCATCTGAGCAGGAGTGAAATGGAAAAGGCTGAGTCAAAGCTTCGTTTGTATTTTGTCTAAAACTGTCAGAATTTGCCTGCAGTTGTGCCTAACTTTTTTCCTCAGCCATTTTCCTGTAGGTTCTTTTTTTTCAGCTCTCTCTAATGTTGATAAGGATGCACTGCTACTTACCCATCCTCCTCTGCTAAATAAACCTTGACTGTAACAGCTGGCTGAAAGTCGTTGCCTTAAATTAACACATCAGCCCCTTCAGATAGCAAAACCAGATGCAAATATAGACTAATATTAATACTCTCTTCAATTGTCAATATTTGAATGATGCTGTCTCTCATCTTGGACAGTAATAAATGAAACTGGCTAATCACAGATAACTGTTGAGAGCTCTGTGCCATTAATTAACAGGAAGTTTTATGCAGCTGTCAGATGCACAAGCTGAGCATTTCCTGCAGGGGAGAGAGATTTATTTGGTGACAAATTTCATTATAGATTTTGGATAGAAAAAAATAGCATTTTGATCACTAAGAAATAATGAATGAAACACAGTTTGCTCTGCTTCAGGAGAATTCTCCTCTGAGCCCAAGTTTTCCTCCCTCAGCTGCTACTCAGGTTAAATAGTTACTGATTTAAAATCACTGCCAGGGTACAGAACTAGATGGTACATCACTGTGTACACCTCTGCTCTGTCGTTGCTGAGTATATGGACAGTCTCTGGCTGTAAAAGAATAATGAACACAGATGTGAAATATGCCTCAAAGAATGGCTGGGTAGTTGTCTCTGAGGATCACATAACTGTGAAAAATTAAATCTGTATAAACCTCGCTCTGATCTCTCTAATTTGATAAAGTGATATCAGTGTGCTCAAGAAGAACATCTCAGCTATTGGATATCAAATTAGCTCTCAGTATAGCTTCATTTATGTTGGAGGAGTCACTACAGAAAGACACTTCCTCTGATATTTGCTGTACAGTTAGTTACTTCTGTTGTCATAAGTGCTGCCAATCCAGGTCAGAGATTGACAAAGTACGAGAAACAGGGGAAGGAGAAATGACTTTGACTTCAACACAAATAGCCTTGATAACGCAGAAAGAAACACAGATGCACTGAGAGTAGTATTCATCCCGACTCAGTTGCTTAAATTTAGGGACCGGACCTGAGAGAGAGCCAGCTGAGAGAGAGAAAGGCACTTCAGATACGTGTCAGAACAACACCCTAACTTGTCCAGGTTAGTTCAGATCCACTGCATGGCCTAAGTAAGATCCAAAATAAATTTGTCCCCTCACTTAAGTACTAACGTTAAATGCCCAAAGCTAGCAGTGACCTTCTCTTTTAAGAATATCTAAATCAGTCCTCCTAAATCAAATCATGAAGGGAAAAAAGTGCCTGGATAAATAATGGCAGAAACAATCCTGTGGCACAAAAAGGAAAACAAGCAAACACCCTACAATGGCAGTACCTTCAGTTAATGGCTAAATTCTAAGAATATCCTTTTTTGAGGAAAATACGTATCTTTTTGGTATTCACAGCACACACTATAAGATGCAGAAGTATGCACCTTATGATATGATAGTCCAAATTATTCCTTTCATTATGTACATTAAGTTTTTAAGACTGAAATTGGAAATTGTTTAGAAATAAATAGCTCCACAGAAAGCAAAATATATTGCAAAAATATACTGAATGTGAATGACATTTTCTTTAAAGGAATGAAGCACTTCTGGAACGAAATACTTACATCTTGCATTTCAAAATTATTTCATGATAAAAATTAAACTCAAGAAGAAAGTAAAGTCACAACCCATCGAAACCAAAAAGATCAAGAAAAATGAATAGAGACCCGTTCAGAGTCGCAGAATGGATAACTAGTTTGGCAGCCAGGTTGGCATTTTGCAACTTGGGCTGCAGATAAATTTTGTTCCTGTCTCCAAATCTGCAGCCCAGATATTTACAGTTTCTTCATCTTTTGAAGCATCTGACACTCGCCATTCACAGTCAGCACATCACCCTTGTTATAGATCCATTCCTGTTTCTACATCATGCTTAAAAACAGAATTATATTCAAAAATATAGAGCTACATAGAAATAAAACTACCACCAAGATGATATGAGCAAGTTAATAGGGAAAAACGATCTATGGGATTGCAACAGAATTCTAATTTAGTTCAATCTTGAGGCACGTACTGTGCGGATGACACACTACATGAAATAAGCCAAATATTGTATTTGAACACTTGAAGCTGACAGTCAAGTCATCCATGTACACGTGCCTGGGATGAAAGGAAGTCTAAAGAGAACCTCTGGGAAGCCCTGGCCTCAGGATATTACATTAATAATTAAGGTGAAGTTGACATTGTGCTTTTAGTACCTTCACCAGTTCTGCTGTTATGCGCTGCTCTGAGAAGGAGCATGGTGTCTCTGAGCCATGCAGCAGGAGTTGCAGCCAGTCCTGAAATTGCTTTATAGTATTACCTTATGTGAACCTTTCATAACTCTTTGATATTGCTTTCTCAGTCTATAAAATAAGGAATTTTTGGTCTATATTATGATGGAATAGAAAGTCTGCCCCTGTGCCAGACACATCTCAGTCTGAGCGTGGTCTTAGTAACTCCTGTAACTTGTGACAACAGCATTAGAATATAACCACTTGGTCAGTATGCACATTACAAAAGGATATTAGGATCCACTTTGATTACAGTGAAACATCATGTCATCAAATGCACTTTTGGGGAGTTATTTTGCCATTGTGGGAAACATCCATATTTGGAAGGGATTTTTAAGTGTTCAGCACATAATTGCAAATTCCAGCAACGGAACATCCATGTTGGGCTGCCCCTGAAGCCAGAAAGTCAAATATGCATTTGAATAGGTTTGGGTGGCCAGAAATCTCAGGAACAGAAGATATTTTGAGAAGGGCTGGGAAGGTGGAATACTCCACCCCTCTGTGTATTTGCACCCAGTGTTTGTAAGCGCGGAGAGGCTGATTATCAAAGGCATAATCGGCAAGAGCTGCCAGGCTGGGGCAGAGCAAGTGCAGCACCTCTTCCTGAACAGCGCCAGCACCTGCAGGAGCTGGGGTGCTCTGGCCAGATCCTCCCCAAGGTAATTCATGCTACTTTTCTTGTTCTAGCTTTTCTTAGATTTTGCTTTTATTCTTCCTCGTGGTGCTACTTCTATCCTATGCTTCAGTTTAGACCTTGGGAGCTCTTATCAAGTGCTCAGCTTTTAAAAATATATATTTTTTGTTTGTTCTTTAAAGGACGTGGTGTTAAGTTTTCCATTGCTGTGCACTGGCATTTTCTGCAGATGGTGAGAAGAATAAAAAGATCTACTTTCTGATGGAGCGTTCTACCAGCCGGGTCAGAATCGCTCGCCTTTGTGACATTGTTGAACTGTTCCCTCAGTGAAAGCCCAGGGTGTGAATGTTTGAATTATTTTACCTTTCTCATTTGACTACAATACAGAATGTTTGAAAGAATTGTATTAAAAAATGACCTGCAAAGCCTTAATGACCGTAATATTGCATGCCCTGAATGCACAGCCAGCTAGCTGCCTAGCTGCTATTCAGATTGTTCTTGGGTGTTTCTTGTTTGCTCTGAGTGAGTCATTTCAGTCCTTCCTTCTCCTGTCCCTTCCCTACTGTCTAAAGTACGTCCATTCCTCTTGCTAAACCAGTGATAACGCTCAGGGGCATTTGTCCCTGCTTTCAACCATACCTAACAAGTATTTGAGTTACCTTCTTCTGTAAGAGAGCAATCAAAAGCTGCATTGAAGGAGGGTAGGCAGACTTTCCAAAACCCTTTCTAAAACACATGAAAGGAGCTTATGGAGCACGTGGTAGGAGCTCTGCCTCTCCAGCTGGATACTGAATGACATGTTCTCACATTCACCTGTTTTCTGAGGGGCAGGATACAGGACAAGTATGTACTAAACAGCTCAGGATGCAGTCCTCGCCTGTGGCTGCACTGCAGAGTGCTTCTTGCATGAATTAAAGAATGCTAGGTCCCTCCTGTGCCTCTCAGATACATGCCAGGTTATTCAAATCTTGCCCTAACACTTACAAAGGGGACATATCTATAGTGAAATGAGATACAAACAGAACTAAGTAAAGTTGTTTTTTTTCTTTTCTGGCATTTACAGAAATCCAATAGACACTGTGACACAGGCAATTGTAATATTCTACGCTGGTCAATATATTAAAAGGGCAGGCTTATCTGGCTTAACTAGAGTACAAAGCAGATCACAGATTTTGTTTTAATCTTCTCATTTACCTTTCAACCTGTGAAAATGGTTACCACTTTGCCAGGACTAAAACAATGACTTTTGAGAATGAGGGAAAAGAAAGAAATTTATCAAGCCTTGAGGAATGCTATCGTTCATGCAACATAAAACAAACAAACAAACAAAAAAATCAAATCCAACTTATCTTTTGGATTCTTTTCTTCATTACAACAGAAGCAGTGAAGCATAATCTGGAAAAGGAACTGCTTAAGAGCTGTGTCTAATCTGGAGGCTGGTAGTGCATGTTCCTTTCTAAACCAGTTAGACTGCATTCCAGTCGGTTTAAATGAGCCCCCCACAAGGATAATATCCTGGAAACTTAATATAAAAATCCGTATCCAGAAAGGAAGCCTAAGGATGACAACGAATTTTCTCTTCATCTTGTCCACTTCTAAGGGGTTTCTTTTCCTTTTTAAAAGACGTACTTGCATCAGGATCATCTCTTTTCCCCTCCCGGTCCCTGAGAATTATCTTGTCCCTATAAAAATTGCCAGACTTCCTCTTGTAAAACAGATGCATTGCCAGCAATACCTCTGAGGTCTGGCTAAAGGTTTGCTTCATACTCACAGCTTAGAGCAGAGATTCGGTGCTTTTCAGATACAGAACAAAGGGCACAAATAGGTCCTGCCCAGTGGTTGTAATAATAACCATTATTAATAATTGAGATATACCAAAATCATCCAACAGAGAGACCGAGTCAGCACCCTAAGAGACAGTGCAGCATTCAGAGTTGGAGAGTGGTTCTCAGACAGTGATTAATACCATCTGACTCTGCCCACTAGAGATAGGTATGTGGCCATATCCTGAGAGATATTGAGGACTTATAGTTCTCACATAAGTCACGACAAACTGGGAGTCCTCAGCAGCTTTTGAAAATCCAGTTGTTCACGTAAAGTTTTTAGCAGCATGCCAAAACGGGGCTTGGTCCTTAGATTTCTGCAGCCCAGAGTCAAAGACAGCAGTCTTCGTAAAAGTGCTAGTGAAAAAAGATGCCAAATGAGAGCCTTGTGGGGCCTTTATAGTGTAAGACAAGTTCCAGGGGCAGGTTTATCAGGTTTATATCAGCTCCATTTCCATACTGCATCTTATCAAGTGACCATGCTCATGGCCTCCAAAACTTCTTTTAAGAAAAGAAGGAAGTCCAAACTGCAAGTCTCTGATATGGGGTAATGCTGGAAGGTTTTAAAAAACATGCTGCTGCAATAGGCCTGGCTGACAGAGACTAGGATCTCCATAGAAGGAGGAAGGGACGCGTAACTTGAGCTAGCATTGGGAGCCTCTCTTATTTTTCCTAAATCTTCTTGGTTCCATATTTAATAACTAGCTTCAAGCACACTGCGTTAGATTGAAGATGAGCCTCTGCCTCAGACCTGAAAAAGTGTCCCAAAAGAGAGAAAAATGGATTCATTCCTATAAACTAGAGCCTGGGAAAAATATAACTGTATCATTTAATGACAGTTAAAGCAGAGCTCTTTTATGCAAATCTCGGTCCATATGAATCAGCCGCAACAGTTTCTGCAGCAACAAATTCTAAATGCAATGGCAGAAATGAATGGCTGTGATGTTGTTTCCTTGCAACTTGAAATTCTGCCAATCTGATACCAATTTGTATGTGTACTATCACTTCTGCTGATACTCAGTTTTGTCTATAGGTGGCAGTGACCTTTCATGTTTTTCTTTAAAATAAGGCAGAAGCACTACATGCATAAATATCTTCCTTATTTTATTGGAGAGTCTGGGCCATAACTATTAAGCTGTGCCATTGACTGGAGTTCTGTACCCCAGTAACAGCAACATACTTGTTCCCTTTCTTCTGTAGCCACTTTCCCCTGAGCATGTTAAATGGGCAGTTGTAATAGATAATAATCAATTACTGTCACAAGGAGGAAAAATGTCTGAAGAGACTTCACATATGTGCATGATGGAATACTGTGCCTGGTGCTCTGGGTGCATACTCCAATCACAGTCTTTTTTTCAAAAATAGCCTTGATGTTTACCTCTTCCAGCTTTCTATGGGAGAGGGGGTTCTAGTGAGGGAAAGTCTTTTAAGATTCCACATGATCACTGCGCATGTTTTATTTCAATTAGAATTATAAATCTGATTGTAGAAAATGGGTAATCTCGCCTACAACAAAATACTCCAGAGATCCAGGGCCTGCGATTTCTGCAGTTAAAGATAACTTACTTGACATACGTCAATAGGAAACTGGAGTAATTGAGAATCAGGCTACAGATCATCATAGAAATAAAAATAAATAGGAATTCTGCCTCTCTCACTCCCCTCTGATATGTACTACTTTTGCAGCATATGAGAAAAAGGAAGCACATAACCTGCAAATATTCCATCCCCTGCTTAAGTTGTCTCCTGGCATAAACCTGGAGGTCTTGTGAATGGAAAAAAAAAGTAAATCCTCCAGATTCAACTAGATACTAAAATTACCATTGAGACTAAGCAGTTAATGTTGCTAGGTAACAGAGTTACATAGCAAGGACAAGAGGCCATTGTATATCCATGGGGAAATGCTGGCGGTTTTCCACAATAAATCAAAAGTTCTGATTTATAGTGGAAATATCAGCGGAGAAGATAAAAATCGCTGTAGAACAGCTCTGCATTCTGAAATCGGGGCTGTGTCCCGCAGCCACTATTTATGCAGCAGTTCTCAGCAGCGCATGACTACAGTTCATGTTTCAGTATCTGTGGGGCCATTCAATGTCTAGCTCAGCATTAGGCACTTAGCAGAGAACAATAACCAAGTCTGGAAGAGAAGCCCAGCTTGGATTTCATTTCAGTTAGGATGCAGCATAAAATGGAAACCAGATCTGAACTAAAGCAAAGGTTTGTAGATTGGAGTTAGCAAAAAAACTCAACCAGCCTGAACTCTGTAAACAGTTAGTAGAATCAGATACTTGGGGATGTACGCTGAAATGAGACCTTCCCCCCAGTTCTCAGATTCAAATTCTAACGAACATGGTTTAGCAAAACTACTCTTTTCCTCTTTCTCTCCAATAGTCAAGGATTGTCTAATTAAAACACTCAGAAAGAAGTTGCTCTCTTCTGTACCTCTGCTGGTTCACTAATTATACAGACATAAATCAGAGCAATAATAAACTGGACAGCACCTAGTACCCATGGTACCTGTGAAGGAGATCTCACACCATGAGCGCTAAGGCTGGAGCTGGCTGCAGCCCCGAGTCTTCCGCCCTTTGGAGACCTTTCTCTTTCAAGGTGTGGCTCAGAATAACCTCTCCTTATTGTTTGTTTGTTTAGCTTTAACAGCATACACAGATCTTGAGCCAAAGTCAATAGGAACCTTCCTCTTGGCTTCAATCTGGTTTGCCCTTCAAGCATGTTGCTAAATTGGGAGTATGTTTGGCCTGAAGAATTTACAGTCTAAAGGCACAATGAGTTCAGCTAATATGTAAGTGTAGTTTAAATAATGAACAAAAACAGTTTTATGTGTACTTCCACATAGGACAGAGGCTGAAATTGAATCAAACATATCAATCCTGAAACAAAGTTTAAAGAAATCAGTGCTGGCTTTTCATTAATTCCAGTAGGTATTGCATTAGACCATGTAATGATCTATTAGTAATTAATTAACTAAGATTATGCCTGAATTGTAGTCAGAGCTGTGACTCCAGTGGGTATAATCATAAGAAAGCGAATCGTAAGCCAATTAGTTTAGGTAGCGGTAGTGTTGTAGCTGTAGCGACACAAGATGCAGCGTGCTCTAGAACTACGTCCAGGACTATAGATGAATGCTGAGGTGGTTGGTGCATATTGTCGCTGACTTGCTGCAGCCACAAGTGCTCAAACTAGCTAAGAAAATCTAGCTCAGGTATGTCTCTAAGCTGCGCTCGACCAGTGAAGCTGTCTAGGGCAGGCCAAGTATTTCCAAGCCACAGGCTAGGAGAGAATTTCCCCCAGATGATTTGTTAAACATAGCTGTCTGACATACAGGGCCTAATTTTCAGAGTTTAGGTGCATAATTTCTTTACCTGCTGCCTTTTTTCTCTTTTTTGTTTACCAGAAAGTAAAGAAAAAATATAAGAATCCCACATTGCTGTTGTAATTTATTCATTTATTTTGGTCTTTTTCACTATATTCTGCGTGGTGCTTGTGGTTGCTAACTCCAAGTATCTACTATCTACTGAGTCCTAACTAGCGCTGTAGGCGTGATTGCATCCAATTTTCCTCAGTAACCAAGAAGAGTTTGTTAATCTGTGCCTTTTTTAGTGTGCAGCTGTGAGCCCCTGTGCATAATCTGGTGCGAGTATGTTTGCCCTAGACTGCCGAGCAGGGCAGCTGCCCTGGGGAAAGCAGGTGGGGCTTCTTAGAAATTTAAACAGCCCGTCACCGTTTGCTACCTCCTAATTTGAATTAGGCAGGAAGCTCATATTGATGAGAAAGGTTGTGTTTTGTTTTTTTCTCTCTCCATCTTGCAGCTAATATGGGGAATACCTTGAGTGTCCCAGAAGATGCTGAAGAAGATAATACCTGCATGATCAAGAGTTACCAGGTAACCAAGAACTGCCTGCTCTCATTTTTTCTGATTGTTGCATAATACTGCCAAATCTCTTGATGTACACAATGCTAAGCGCCATACTGTTTGATATTTCAGGCTATATCTGAATCTCCTGAGAATATTAAAAATGGATCTGTTGCAGTTGTTCAGGCTACTTCTCCTACAATGAATGGTGAAGGTATGTACTGGGAAGTATGGCATGTTCACAATTCTTTTGCCACCAGACTGGCAAAGAGAGGTTTACATTGAAGCAACAATAAATACTGATGCATGATATCATGCTAAACGATGAGCTCATGTTTTAGCTCTTGCCTATGAACCAACAAATGTGGTTTTCAGAAGCTTGAGAGCTTAAAGGAGAGAAGATAGCAAACAGCAAAATAGGAAAAGAATTCCAGAGTTTTCTGGAAGCTATTTGTTTATTTGCTGTTGGAATTTGGCTCTGCATCTGGTCTAAAAAAATGATTAATAGATTGAATATTTTGATTAGTGTGAATATTGTAGGGTAGATGCACTTTGGCACTGGTCTCCTGCAGGCCTGCAGAAACCTCAGGGTGTTCTATAATAAACTACTACTGCCTGGGCTGTGGTGGGATTAGTGCCCCTTAAAAGCCTCAGAGGAATAATTACTGCAAAGTGCACAAGTTAGGGCCGCTCAGAGGAGTCCAGAGTGGCAGCAGCAGCAGTGTAAGGATGAGCAGGCCTGTGTTTCTGGGGGCACAACAGAAAACTTTTCTGCAGAATGGAATAAAAGAGAGCAGTTTGTATTTTGTGAAAGAGCATGAGATGTCTTTAGATAACATCCTGACATCCCTGATGCTAACTGGGAGTTACCAAGTGATGTCATTGTGCTCAGATGCCAGACTGAAACATCCACTGGTGTGGAAGCTGATGTTCTGGAGGGGATGCAGGAGATGACCAAAAAAAGAATGACGACTGAATGGATTAAATAATGTGAATTTATGTGGGCTAGAACCTAAATTAGTCAAGCTTTAAGATATTATCCGACTGCTGCGGAGGAATTAGACTTTCAGGAGGCAAATATTTGCTTTGTTGACCAGACTGCTTCGCCCTGCCAAACACATTCTTGGATCTCAGGGGGCACGAGGCTGGGCCTACACAGAAACTGGGCTGCAATACAGATCGTTACTATAGTTTTCTCTCTGGGAAAAGGTTAATAATGTACTCCAGATTTAAAGGTTTATTCTGAAATTGCCTAATGAATTATAATGATGTGTGAAGATAGGCAGTGTAGAACAGTACAGAGTTTTGCAAGGAGGAGGAGCACCTTGTGTTGGACAGAAAAGCCAGTAATGAGCTTAAGGAATGACCACTGCTTCCCTCCAGCTAACACTGAGTTAATTACCAATGAGTTCAACGTATCTTGCTTGATGATTTAACTTCTGCAAGGAGCTTGAAGAAAGAGTTTCAAGGGATATCTGCAGCTGAAATAACAGGCATTTACTCCACTGCTCTGGCCTTTCAGGTACATGACTATACAGGGTGGGTGTTTAGTGAGAGTTAGATTATTACAGTATCTGGTGTAGAAAAGGATGATGGAAGTGTAAAGCTACTAGTATAAATCATTTAAACCCCAAATACTATTGTATTAAAGGGGAAAAAGAAGCTAGTGTGAAATGGTTTTGAGGGGAGTGTGTGTTTGGTGTTTTTGCTTGCAATAGGGCCTTGTCTTGAAATTTTCTGTATGTGCTCAAGCTTTTGGCTTTCATGAGCAGTTTAACATTACTTTCTCTTGGAGAATAAGAGAATTTAAATAATATGTTGCAAGTTGATTATAAAAAATGAAATTGATTTTATTTTTTAGTTTTAATTTTAAGCCTTAGTTCCATGTTCCCACCCACAGGATTGTAAAGTCTGAAAAATCACCTCTTCTTTTCTGTTGAATCATATTTCAGGCCCTTTCAGCAGCAATTTCAACAAATTACATGGCAGAAATGTGAATGCACTTGCATTCCTCTAAGCGTTTCCATCTTGTTTTCTGATTCCTGATGCTGTGTTCCTGACTGGGTGCATTGTTTTGACTTCAAAGATGCCAAAAAGTTATTTGTTAACAGTAAAATATGTATAGGAACTTTTTTCTATCCTCTTTGTCATTTAGCAAAAGTGATTGGCTGGGAGAACTACAGTAATGTGGTAGCCAGTTCACCTGCAGTAATGCTTTTAAAACATAATGCTCCTGGACCTGTGCAAAAGTGGTTTTGCAATGAAATACCACTTCTTATCCTGAGCTGGGCTCTAACAATACCTCTCATATACAGAAACTTATCTTACACTCACATTTTAGAGGCAGTAGACCTTTGCCAAGAGAGCAGAGTATGTCCGTCTTATCTGCAGTGAGATCTTAATAAACGAAATCTAACTCAATGTCAGCTGCTTGTGTTTGAATTCTTGAGAATTTAGGGTACGGCACAATAATATATAGAGCTAGGTGTGTGACAGCCAGGGATGTGGCAAGTCTTATACTAACAACTAAGGTTTACTGTTATTTACCAAAACTTATTCAAACTGTTACAAAAGACTAGTGTTATAACCCAGACCTCCTCTCTCCTATTGCTGCTATAGGATGTATTAGATGTTATTTAACTGTTGCTTGGTTAACTAGAGCATGAGGGTGGAGGTTTTTCCTCTGTACACTAACAAACTCAACTTGATATGCCTTTATTATGTATAAAATGTGGGTGTTAGCCTGGAGGTTATACCCGGTATCTGACATAGCTTGGCTCTCATACAATGCTGTTCTACACAATACACGGATCAAAAAAGGAGAAACAGGTATGAGGCGCTTTTGTGGTGTATAGGTTTGAAGTGTGATGCACTTGATGACTGTTACTTCACCTATCTGGATGGTGTTAATGGCAAGTTAGCAACCAGATTTAAGTGATCACACCGGTGGCAGGCTGGACCCGGGGCTTCCCTAAGGAGAGCTGCCTGCCAGCAGCTGAACCCTGCTTTCTGTGTTTACATCTCTTTGAAAATCTGGTGTGAACTATATGGCCTGAGCACTAAAAATTTGTCTCCAAGCTGTTTTGAAAAGTTGTCTCCACATATTCATGGGCAATTGCTCTCAGCCACAGAAATGTGTCTCTGTCCTAGACTTTCAGCACCTCATTAATTTCTCTTACCACCTATTGCTGGCTTTGGAGCCTTACTGAGCACTGAACTGTGTGTTCAGGCAGCACTTGTGTGTAGCAGTGTCACTTCAGATCACATCTCTGCAGATCCAGCCAAGTTAATTTTACCAATGTTTTCCTTATATTGGATTTCTTTCTGTTTTCAGAATGTAATAAAAGCCAACAACTTTCTCTGATATCTGTAAGAAAAGAAAATATTATTCTATTATTCATTGTTAAGAGAAACTTTTCAGCCTGTTATATCCAGTTGAAAAATCTAAGCTCAGAGAAAAATAATCAAAGACTGGTAATATGCAGATAGTACACTACGCAGCTCAGAATCTCCATTCTACGGCTAATTTCCTAAAGCCATCTAGCTATAATAAGTCAGTGGTTGCCTGTTTAAAAACACTTTTTTCTGCTGAAGTAAAGCAGCACAGTTCTGTGAAGTAAATAAATGCTGGATAATTTACACTCTCTGAAGACCTAGGAAATAAGTGTACATCTTATTTTTAATAAAAAATGCAACATATGGCATTATTTTACTTAAAGGGATTAACTAATTAGTATAATTACTATAATTACTGAATCAGTTTAAATAACAAGTTAAAAAATTGAACTCTCCTGTGTTGGTATTACCCATATTTTAATTTTATCATTATTTAAAAAGCAGTTAAAAATCATTAACTGTTAACATACCACTGAAATCTCACTGGTTTGTGTAATTTAGTATAGATCTTTGTGATAGAGAAGTGCAACTGCTGTTTAGAGATGAAAGTTATTCCTACAGAAAGTATAGCTGATAGTATTTCTAGAAAGAAATAACGCATGAAATAGTACTGTGACTTATTTTATGGTCATAAAGTGAGCATTTGTGGAGAAGGCAATAAAGCTCTTTCCTGTGAAAGATGTAAGTGAAGCAAGAGGATTTTATTAATGATGTTAGATGTATATTTGTAGTCTTTCCCTTGTTAGTTTGTGTTTCTGTGATTGCCAGTGACCTGCCCATGTGCTGTGCATTAAATAGTATAGATGATGAATGAGTCTATGAAATCTATATCTGCTAATATAATGAAAAAAGGAATCCAGAGAGTTAACTTAATATGACCAGAGGAAGTAATGTTATTTGGAAGAGCCCCATCACCATCTGCTTCACATCTGGGTGAGCAGATTGGTTACTGGTTCCCTGCATTTGCTGCTTCTGCTCCAACAGGCTGACAGATGTGTGGACTTAGGGATTCTTTCCATTACTTGCTTTTCCTGCTTCTATTGATTATCAAGATTGCAGACATTGCACAGAGTGGTAGCATCCATCTTTCTCTCCTATAAAATCATTTAAATAGTAGTGGTGCCCTAATGCTGCTTCTTGCCATCATCCTCTTTTGCAAGAGAGGATGGCAAATTTGGTCATGACTTTTCCTAATGTTTTGAGTTGGCCTCTTTGAACTGCAAGTAATCAAGTACTCAACAGGAGAAGAGAAAGAGGGCGCAACTAACAGCAGAATATCTCTGGGACTTAAATCATTAGGGAATAGAAAGGTATTAGTACAACAAGATGGGAAGAATTTTGTTTGTGTTTGGGTGGTCATTATATGTAGATCGTTTAAAATAGTAACCTGATTATTAATGTTCATGAACAGAAATATCATGTAGGAGGAAAAGCTTGATTAAGATGCAATTCATTTTCATGTTCCAGAGAATAAATCTGATCTAGCAAATTCTGCTACAAGCCAGCATCTGGAAGAAACAGGTGTGTTGCAATAACACTGCTGTGCATGTAGTGAGTGAAACACAATGGATTTTTTTAAGAATGGCTATTGCCATCCTTACTGTTCTCTTTTTTCTTTTCTAATTTCAATTATTTTCAGTAAATGTGTTAGGTAAATATCAGCGCTAATTAATTTCGTGTAACAAAATTATTCTTGGAGCATGAATGCACCTTCAAACACCACTGGCAGGAAATTCTGCTAAGCAAGATTGCAATAGAATATTAGCATAGGGATTTTCTTAATTGTTAAGAAAGGGGTAAAATGTCTTATTTTGGACT